GAGCCCGGTGCTGGTTGAATTGTTGGCCACACAAAAATGGAGTCAGCATAAGCAAAGAGCCATCCATGCAAGTTATCACACAGCATGAGAAGAGCGTGCCTCCTCCCTGTCCTCCTGGTCTCATGGCCTTTGTGGAATTCAGTGATACAATATCATCTACTTACTTTCCTCCCTCCTCCTTTAGTTTTAGAGCCCTCTGGATGAGGACAGCAAGTGTCCTGCCAAATACATTCTTCTAATTCTTGTGAAACTCAAAGTAATCACAAAAGAGCCTGGAGGCTTCCCAAACGGGGGAAATGGCGAGCAGGCGCCACCACGGCTAGGAGGGAGTAGAGGCTGCTTAGTCCCCTAAAAACACCCAGCCTGGTGGGGGCAGGTGCTGAAGAGGAAGTTTGGAAAGGCAGGGTGACGCCAGATCTAGGCTACAGATTGCTCAGCAGGCCGGGCCACGATGCGTGCCCAAGCCAGTAGGCAACAAGGACTTCTTGTAAAATTATCGACTCTGACCGATAAGATAAAATGTTATTCTTTTAGTTTTTTAAATTTTGTTAATGTTTATTTATTTATTTATTGTGGGGGGAGGGGGAAGAGAGAGAGGAAGACCGAATCCGAAGCAGGGTCCAGGCTCTGAGCTGTCAGCACAGAGCCCGACACGGGGCTCGAACCCACGAGCCGTGAGATAGGACCTGAGCCAAAGTTGGACGGTCAACTCACTGAGCCACCCAGGCGCCCCCTTTTAATTTTTAAAAAAATTTCAGGGGCACCTGGGTGGCTCAGTCAGGTGAGCGACCGACTTCAGCTCAGGTCATGACCTCATGGCTCGTGAGTTCGAGCCCCACAGGGGCTTTTGCTGCTGTCAGCACGGGGCCCACTTCTGATCCTCTGTCCCCCTCTCTCGTCCCTCTCCTACTTGCTTGCCTGCACGCTCTCTCTCTCTCACTCAAAAATAAAAGATACAAACATTAAAAAAATTTTTTTAAGAATTTATTTATTTTTAGTTATTTATTTTATATTAGAGAGAGAGAGAGAGAAAGTGCACCAGTGGGGTAGAGGGGAAGAGAGAGAATCCGAAGCAGAATTCAAGCTCAGCCCGACACGGTGCTTGATCCCACAACCCTGGCATCACGACCTGAGCCGAAATCAGGAGTCAGACGCTCAGCCGATTGAGCCACCCAATTGCCACTAAAAGATTTTATTTTTAAATGAAAAATAGTCAGTTGGGCGACTGAGTTCACTCAGGTCATGATCTCACTGATGGTGAGTTCGAGCCCCCTGTCAGGCTCTGTGCTGACAGCTCAGAGCCTGGAGCCTGCTTCGGATTCTGTGTCTCCTCTCTCTCTGCCCCTCTCCCACTCACATTCTGTCTGTCTCCTTCAAAAATAAACATTAACAACAAAAAAAAAAAAAAATAAAATAAAAAGATTTTATTTTTAAGCAATCTCTACACCCAAAGTGGGACTTGAACTCACAATCCTGGGATCAAGAGCCACATGGTCTTGCAGCTGAGCCACAGCCACACACCCCCAAGGAACCAATCGTTGTTGTTTTGTTGTTTTAAGTAAGCTGCACACCCAACATGGGGCTTGAACTCCTCACCCTGACATCAGGAAGTCGCATGCTTTACTGACTGAGCCAGCTGGGCGCCCAAAAATGTTATTTTAAGATTGCTCAGCCAGCGGTGTTTCCAAAAGGCTGAAGTCAGAAGATTCTGAACGTTGGCAGGGTAGTGAGGCTCAACAAATACCCACTGAGAACTCGCGTTCGTTTGGGGCACTTCTGTCTTTAAGGAGCTCAAACCGACTGGGAAGAGTGAACAACAAAAATGGAGTGTGACAGATAGGACACAGGTATTGGTCCACACAACGTGGGGCAAAATTTGGTGAGAGGGAGGAGCCCAGTGGAGTCTGGAAAGGAAGGCAGAAGGCAAGGGGACAGACAGCTGGTCTGCTCGAGCTCCCGGCCTCACCTGTTGAAATAGTTAGCTATGAGGAAAGGGAAGAATTAAAAAAAAAAAAACAAAAAAACTTTTAATGTTTTTTAAATTTATTTTTGAGAGAAAGAGACACAGAATCCAAAGCAGGCTCCAGGCCCAGGCTCCAGGCTCTGAGCTGTCAGCACAGAGCCTGACTGGAGGCTCAAACCCATGAACCATGAGATCATGACCTGGGTGGAAGTCGGATGCTCAACCGACTGAGCCACGCAGGCGCCCCTGAAAGGGAAGAATTTTAAAGGGCAAAGGAATGGGTTGGAACAGCCTTATCAAGTTTATGAACCAAACAGTTAATGAGGGAGAAAGAGGAAAGATCTCTTCATGATGACCAAGCCAGGGGGCATGGTCGGTCATGGAGAGCAGGCCAGTTTACTTCCGGGGCCCTCTCTGACCCTCACCAGCTAAACTGAAGAAAGCAAATAACGTAGGTTGGCAGGCTGGGAAGGAAGCTAAAACACTAGTTTACGGTGATAGAAGATAGACAATGGTGCCTAGAAAAAGATTGAGGCTGGAACTGACTGCAAAGGGGCCCCAGAAAAACCTCGGGGATGTCAGTGTTCTAGATCTTATCAGGGTGGTTGTTACAAGTGAGCATATGCTTGCCAAAACTCAATGAACTGTACATTTAAGAACTGTGCATTTTATTGGAGGTAAATTATGCTTCAAAAAAAAAAAAAAAAAAGGAAGAAAGAAACGCTACAATCAAATTACAATATTTGAGGAGGCAAAAAAAGAACACTAGAACAGTTGAGAGTCAAACAGGGAGGGAAATTAGACCCCAGGAAAACCTTCCAAGCAGTCTGAAAACCAAAGGGAGGTGGGTGTTTGAAGGAAGAAACGGCAGGGACGATTTGCCAGAACTTAGCCCAGACTCACATGTTTCGATTGTATCTGTAGACCCAACGCTGTCCAGCTAAGTGGAGACAGAAATGAACTGTAGTTGGGGCACCTGGGTGACTCAGTCGGTTGAGCATCCGACTCCCACTCAGGTCATGATCTCATGGTTCACGGGTTCGGGCCTCGAGTCGGGCTCTGTGCTGACAGCTCAGAGCCTGGGGCCTGCTTCGGATTCTGTGTCTCCCTCGCTCTTCTTTGCCCCTCCCCCGCTGGTGCGCTGTCTGTCTCTGTCTCTCAAAAGTAAGTAAACGTTAATGAAAGAAAGAAAAGAGAAAAGAAAAAAAGAACAAAGGAAGGAAGGTAGCAAGGAAGGCGTGGAGGGAAGGGAAGGAGGAAGGAAGGAAGGAAGGAAGGAATTGTGGTTAGCCCAGGGAGAGCCATGACAGAGAAGCTGGAGAACCCAGATGAACAGATTTTTGTGGAGGTGCATGGTAGGCTGTGACATAAGACACAGAGGGCTGGGTACAGCCCAGGAGGTAGAAGGGGAGAGAAAAGGAGGGAGAGGAAGGCAAGGAATGCAGGGATTTGAAGGCATTTCTCCAGAAACTTGAAAAATTGTTTATTTAAATATAATTTATTGTCAAATTGGCATCCGTGCAACACCCAGTGCCCATCCCAACAGGTGCCCTCCTCAGTGCCCATCCCCCACTTTCCCCGTCTCCCCCACCACCATCCACCCTCGGTTTTTCAGTATTTAAGAGTCTCTTAGGGTTTGCCTCCCTTCCTCACTGTAACTAAATATGTTTATTCTGAGAGAGAGAGAGAGAGAGAGAGAGAGCACAAGCGAGCGAGCACAGGGGAGGGGCAGAGAGAGAATCCCAAGCAGGCACTGAGCTGTCAGCACGGAGCTCGATGTGGGGCTCAAACTCACCAACCAGGAGATCATAACCTGAGCCGAAATCCAGAAATGGATGCTTAATCAACCGAGCCATCCAGGCACTCCTCTTAAGTTTTCATTTATTTTTTTCAGGAATCATCCTGCCCAACGTGGGGCTCAAACTCGCAACCCCAAGATCAAGAGTTGTAGGCTCTACCGACTAAGCCAGCCGGGAGCCTCAAGGATTAAAATTTTAAGACAGCAAACTTAAGAAGTCAGAACTCTGGCATGAAAATATTTGAAAGGTCTAGAAGGATATGCATCAAACTATGCCCTGCACCAGAGGGAAGGCACATACACGCTGTGTTGAGTTTTGTCAGCAAGTGTGTGTTTCTCATTTTCCTTAACCAATTAAATTTTGTTCAGTCCAGCGTGGGATCAAAGGACGGTGTTGCTAGAAGCCGGGGCCTGTCTTTGGTGTAACCTCACACTTGTAACCTGTGTTTGACACACCTGTAGGCATGAAGGGTGACATCTGTTCAGTCCCTCACTGCCTGGAGCTGCCCTTTCCTTTCCTCAACCCAGTGAGGAAGCCTGAGGGAGGGCAGGTGGGGGCTGGGGACCCGAAGGGCAGGGGCAGGGGCGGGCAAACTATGGCCATCAAGGACTAGATAGTAAAAATGTTAGGACTGGAAGAACATGGAGTCCCTGTCACAACAATGCCGCCATTTTACACAAAAGCAGTCACAGACAACGTGGAAAGAAGTCATGGCAGCAAGGCCAAGCCAAGCCCCAGTCGGCTGCCCTCTGGAGCAGTGGCTCTGGTCCCTGACTGCACATTAGAATCACTTGGGGTGGGGGGTTGTGGGGGGGGGGGGGAGAGAGGCGCCTGGGTGGCTCAGTCGTTTGAGCATCCGACTCTTGATTTCAGTTTGGGCCATGATCCCAGCATCGCGGGATCCAGCCCCATATTAAACAACACTTAAAAAATCACTTCGGGGGCTCATAAAACCACCACTCCCCAGGTCTCACCCCCAAGATTCCAAATCTGGAAGGGGACCCACACTTTTTTTTTTTTTTAGGTACCAATTGATTCTGATGTGCATCCTGAGCTGAAAACAGTTGTTCTGGGAGAATCATCCTCTCAGGAAACTGCGGGGGGTTGGGAGGTTGGGGGGGGGGGTGGGGGGGGGGTGAGGACAGAGGATGCTGGAGAAGGACCCAGGGCTGAAGTGAAGTCTAGATTAAGATTGGGAGTGTTCGCAGTGCACCTGACAAACTAAGTGCTTCCAATGCTTCGAGTAAACGGTCTTTATTTGATGCTTTTGCGCGCAGAGAACTGTGAGCAGTGCCCAAGCTGGGGAGTCAGACCCTCCACCACCCGCAGTTACGGTGGCCGCGGTGGGGAGGGAGAGGGGGCCACCATCAGTAAGCCACCTTCTACCTAACCTTCTTTCTGGAACCATTCTCTATAGGCCCCTGCGTAGTTGCGAGCCCTGTGGAGACAAAAGGGGGAGGGGGTGAGGGAAGGACAGGCCCGGGAGGCAGTCCCCAGGCACCCCCAGCCGGCGATGCACACCTCCCCCATACCCTGTGTATCCAAGGCCCTGGGCCAGCTGCGTGGCCTGCAAGCCCCGCTTGCCCATGTGGCAGAAGAAGATGAGATTCTCATCGTCCCGCTTCGGCTTCTCGGCGGAGTACAAAGCCTGGAAAGCGGCGGGCTCCATTTGCAGGGCACTTTCCAGCTCAGACACTGGGAGGAGTCGAGGGGACAGAATGGGAAGCCGGCGGCTGGCGATCTCAGGTTCACACCGGGCCCGGCAGGACTGGCTCCTGCGGCCCGAGCGCGTCTCCGGAGCGCCCCCAAACCACACCCGGTGACCACGCCACACCCCAACCTCAAGGACAGGGCAGGCCCGCCCGCGCAGGAAGGCGGCCGCACACAGCTGAACGGGGGCCACCTCCCCTGCGGCGAGGAGGAGCGGCGGGCGGGCGGGCGCCCGGCCTCGGGGAGGTCAAGCGCGGAGCAGCGGGTCCGCCCCTTCCTCGCCGCCTGCGATCCGCTCAAACTGGAAGGGCCGGTTGCGCTGCCAGGATCCGCCTCCCACCGGCGCTTCTCCAGGAAGTCGGGAGGTGGGTGGGTGCGGGCGGCTTAAGGCAAGGCGGGACCCCCGCAGCCGTGCCTCCCCCACGCCGCCCTAGACGCCCCTCCTGCACGGCCTCTAGGCCACCCGCGCGGGCGTCCCCTCGGCCCCCTACCCGGGATGTTGAGCGCCCCCGGGATGGTCCCCGCTGCCGCCTCCTCCCGAGATCTCACATCGATGAGCCGGGCCCGGCCCGAGGCCAGGAGCGAACGCAGTTCAGGGAGCGAGACCGTGGGCGCTGAGGAGGGAGGCACGAGAGCCTGGAGCGGAGCGCGGCGCCCCAGCCCGGGAGCGGGAGCGGGAGCGTGCGGACCTCCGCGCCCCCCGCCGCCGCGCCTCCTCCCGGGGGCTCCGCGCGCTCCCGGGGGTCGGGGCGAGGCCCCACGTCTCCCCGCAGGTACCTCCGGCCATGGCGCGCGCCGCGACGGCGAGCTGCAGGAATGCGGCCCCGGGCCGCCCCCTCCGTGCCCGCAGCATCTCCCCCGCCTCCCGGAGCCGGGACCGGAACCGGAAGCGAAGGCACCGCCTCCCGATCTGCCCCCTCGGCACCTGTTCGCGCGCGGTACAGCTGATACCCCCGCTGGCCCGAGATTCTTGCGACTGCCCGGCGCGGACGGTCAGGCTTGGCCCAGGCACCGGGACTGAGAGTCATGAACACGGGAGTGGCACCCCACCCTAACCTGGGCCGACCAACCCTTCCTGGGCAAAGTGCAATGTGCCCCCCCCCCCTTCCGCCCTGGGGCCCACAAAAAGGAAAACCAGGAGAGAAATGTGGCTCTGAACATTTTATCTTTAAAAAAAAAAAAAAAAAGAAAAGAAAAGAAAGTAAAAGAAAAACCGTCCCCACAAGGGGGAAGGCCCCAAGTGGGCCCCTGTCTGTTGTTCTCCCCGGCTCCAGAGACTTCTGCATAGGCCTCAGATGCTTGCCGGCCAGTCTCCTCTTCCTGGGGGCAGCGGCCACTGCTAAGCATCCTTTTCCCCACTTCTTGCTAAAGCCTGTTCCCCAGAGTCCTCAGGTGCACATCTGAGCTCCAGGGTGAGGAAGAACCAGTGGAAGAGAGCGCCAGAGTCCTGGGGCAGGCCAGAGCATCACTCGTTAGCGGACCCTCTGCTGGCACTCTAAGCGAGCACGGGGCAAGCTCCCCCCACCCCCGGTTCTGGGTGTCCAGTATCCAGCATGGAGACAGCACATGCATGCGCAAGAGGGGCACAAGGGCCCAGGGGCTGGGCTGGGCAAGGCTGTCCGCGCCCGCCCACGCGTGTGTTTCACACCACTGCAGGCTGCCGGATCACAGGGCCTCAGTTCAAAGCCACGCCTTCTGACTCCCCCTGGTCCCACGCCAGAAGTGGGCAGTGAAGGAAAGGGGCACGGGGTTGGCCTGCTGCTCCTGGGCTATCTGTAGTTCTCAGAAAGGGGCTGTAGGGCCCAAAGCCCCGGAGTCCCCATAGTTAGTTGCTGTCGTTCTTAATGACGACCTCTACTCCGTGGTGCCGCAACTGAGCTCGAAGCAGCAGGTTCTTGTTTTTAAGATCTTCCACCTGACGCGGAAAGGAGGCGATGAGGAGGGTAAGTCGAAAAGTTGGCACTTTTCTGACCTTCTTCAGGCATCCACTAGTGAGGGGAAGAGGACGAGGCCCGCTCTATGGAAACCAAAGGAGGGAGTCCCAAACTGGCTCAGGGGCCCTGGAGTCGAGGAGGGCTGTACGGAGGACAGGGGTCTGACCTGCTGTCGAAGCACATCATTGTCCAGCTGCAGCTGGTCAAGCCCTTGCAGTTCCTCAGACAACCGGTGGTTACTCTGTCGAAGCTCCTGGATATAATCACAGGCTTTGGAGAGAATCCCACCTTTACTCTGCAAGAAGCAGCCAACAAAATGAGGACTAAGGTGCTCCCTGCCTGGCCTTCCTAAAGCACACACGCCCCCTGGGCCCCGTTTTCCCCTAAGGACGGTGGGGTAACCTTTCACAAGGACACGGGGAACCTCAGAGAGAGAGAAGCACGGGTTCCTGCCACGTGTGCCCTCTCCACCATTTCTGCAGACGATACCAGGACACAGAACCCAGGCATCCGGCCCACTCCCGGGGCCCTCCCGTGACCTGGCCAGACTTGGTGCTCTCCATGGAGCAGTCTGGGATGATCTTGGACAGCTGCACAATCCAATTGTTGATCTTGTCTCGGCGGCGGCGCTCGACTGTGGGGCAGAGTGGAGGTCAAGGTGACTCTGTGAGAACCGCCCCCCCCCCACCCCCAGCCCTTTCCAACTCCCCAAGCTCTCTCGCTCAGACACCACGCTGTCCCCAATGCCACCAAGCAGTACCCACCTTCATTATGCTGAGCCCTGCGTTTCTCATCCCGAGTGGTCCGCGGAGCTTCTGACTTCCTGACGACAGAGCCCAGGGCGGCCAGGGTAAGGGAAGGACGAGAGAGAAGATTGGAGGTGGGGTTAGGGGACGACACAGGAGTTGGCGGGGATCAAGAACACCACGGCAGCCGAGAAGAACCAGGGGTCACTCACGGGGAATAAGGGTGAGTCCTTGGGGCAATGGAGCGCTGGCTTCCTCCCTGCAACACTTCTTGTGGCGACATCATCACAAAGAATTGGCCTGTGAAGATGCGGGGTCGGTTCTGTCAGGACGTGGGACCAGGAACCTCATCGAGCTCTGAGGCCAAGGCCCTAGGATCTTCTAAGAAGGACATACTTCCTCCTGCTGGAAGGGCAGCCCCAGACTCACTGCCTGCCCAGGTCTTAGCGATCGTTAAGGGGTCATGAGGAAAGGCCCCCTGCCCCCAGCCTTGTCCCTCCAGCCGCACCCTCACACGTCTCACCGGTGCCGGGAGGGGTCGCCTGCCCCAGCAGTGCCTCTGAGCCCTGCGTCGTGACAACCGCGGCCGCGCTCCCCGAGGTGGTACCCGCGGCCCCATCGCCCACGGCAGTGCTGGGGAAGTAAGTGTAGTGCGTCTCGGCAGCTGTCCCCTCGGCGTCAACCGTATCGTCACTGGTGAATGCACCCTGGATCACCGCCTGGGAAAGGGAACATGAGAACAAAGTTCAACGACAGTCAGGTACTTCCCACCGAACTACTCACTGCACAGCTCCTATCCCCGAGAGGAAGGAGGGAGAAATATCGAGAAAGGGAGAACCTAGCACCTTGGGACAAAGCAGCCCCAGGTGCCTCACCGCCCCCAGCCCCAGCCCCAGCCCCAGCCCATGGGCTCAGCTTCATTTTCCTCCGCAGAGCTCTGGGGCCCCCTCCCCAGCCCGTACCCTGGTACCTGGGTCATGGACTGAGTGGCAGGATAGCCACTGATGGCGCCAGTCCCCTCAGTCTGGCCATCCAGCTGCCCCTCAGACACCTGAATCACCCTGTACATCACCTAGAAGCAGGAGGAAAGGGAAGCGGTGGGGAGGGAGAGAGAGCAGGAAAGTAAATGCTGGGGACCCCAGGACCCTCATAAAGCTTCTCTCAGATAATGCCCCAAAACAAGAGTGCGTCAGAGACAGAGACTCAGCCACTCTCCCCTCTTTCCCCAGAAGTTTCAGCACGGGGCCCCCCCCCACCCCCAATCCCTACTCCAAACCTCATCCTCCAAGCCCCTCCCCACCCCGCAGGGGTCCACACCTTCGCCCCACCCCCACCTCCAAGCCAGGTCTCCCCCTGAGGGTTCGATTACCTCCCTCAACCCCAACCCCAGGTAACACCTGCAGGCCCCTGGCCCCCTCCCTTACCTGGCCCCCATTCTCAGTTCGGAAGACGTACTTGACGTTGGGGTCAGGGAAGGTGGCAGCTGACTGGATGCTGGCAATGGCCACGCTGGTGGGGTCCTCCCCAGTTGCCACCGCTCCTGAATTAAAAGAGCGAAGGAAAACTCTGCGAGGTATGGACTTTCTCCCTCTGTTCCACGAAGGACAAGGGTGCACGGGAGGTGCGCCCGCGGTGGGGGGGGGGGGGGGGCGGGGAGGGGCCACGATGGGCTCTGGGTCTCAGGTCTGTTTCTACCACTCACCTTCCTGAATCTGCACTGTCCCCTCTTCCGCTTCAGCTGTTTTCTGCTGCCTGTTTGTGATGGGGGTGGGGGGGGTGGGGGAATAAGGCAGGAAGTGAATAAAAAGCTCACTGACCCAGTTCCATGTGGCTCCCAAACTCCCATGGCCTTCCCAACAGATGCCGGGTTAGGTTAGAATAACAATCTAACTGGTATTTACTGAGTGTTTATTGTGTGTGCATAGCACCGAACTCAGCACTGAACACGCGTTATTTTAGCTCATACCAAGAACAGCACGATGAGCTAAGCAGCGTCACTTGCGTTTTGTAGATGGGGAGCCAGATCACAACACTAGTAGGTGACGGAGCTGAAACCGGAATCTAGGTCTGCCTGACTCCAGAGCCAGTGCTCTCAGCCGTTCTGCGTCCTCCCCGGCCTCCCACCTCCCGCCCCAGACCCTACCTCTTCTTCACTCACCCCTTCATCTCTCTGTAAGGGGGCACATCCAAGGAACTGGTCCTTCTTTGGAAGCCTTTGTATCTCCCGCCTCACAGGCCAGAGTGTTAAGTCCTGGTAGAAATCAGGGAGTTTGCGGTGAGGCCAAGAAACTGAACAGCCTGTTTCTTTTTTTTTTTTTTTTTTCAACGTTTATTTATTTTTGGGACAGAGAGAGACAGAGCATGAACAGGGGAGGGGCAGAGAGAGAGAGGGAGACACAGCATCGGAAACAGGCTCCAGGCTCTGAGCCATCAGCCCAGAGCCCGACGCGGGGCTCGAACTCACGGACCGCGAGATCGTGACCTGGCTGAAGTCGGGACGCTTAACCGACTGCACCACCCAGGCGCCCCTGAACAGCCTGTTTCAAGAAGCCAGGCTCCATGAAGACTCAGCCAGGAACGAAGTGCAGTCATCTACAGGGGACAGTTTCCTCCGTTCTGATGCTGAGAGGTGGGCTACAGTATTTGAAAAAGTAACTCTACAAATAGTGCTCCTCGGCCCTCCACCATCACTCCAAGTCATGTGGGCACTGGTGCTTCTTCCCGCTTCGCAGCCACATACCGTACCAAGAAATTTCTGTTTTCAAATCTAGGAAGGGGACACCTGAAACCCACTGCTATTGGCACACCTCCCTGAACCATAAAGAACATCCGTGGCCCCTGGGCCTCATTCTGCTTAGCCCCTTGGGCTCTTGTTTTGGGGTGTCCAGATTTGTGTCATCTGTTAAAGACCCTAGAGTCCAAGTGTGTCCTCTACAAGCCCCTTCTATTTTCTTCACCAAGCCTTCCCGTGGAACAACACGGTTGCTAAAATGTTGCCATGACAACTCCAAATCAACTGAATCCCAGCAAGAAGAGGGGAAAAAAAAAAAAAAAAAAAACAAAAAAAAAAAACACTCCAGGCTCAAGGTTCGGGAAGGAGAGACAATGGAAAAGGAACTCATTTGCAAGGTGCCCGCCTTAGGACCCTGACACCCGGCCGGAGGGCAGGAAACACAAAGAGCGGAGAAGACAAATGTCTCCAGAAAGATACAGCTACACGTACAAAACGACAAAACGATCCCCGCACGAGAGGGTAAGCTTTTTGGTCAAAGGTCCCCCAAACCTCTCCTATCCAAGGGAAATCTTCAGCGGATGATTGAAAAGCCCGCATCGAAGGAAAGTATTGACCGAAAAGAGAAGGAAAAAAACCAACCAACCAAACAAACAAAAACAAAGGGCGAAGAAAAAAAAAAAGAAGAACCGAAAGCGAAAGTGTCCGGAGGAAGCAGCGCAGCGAGAAGATCCCAGTCCCTAAGGGGAAGTAGGACCAGGGTTTCGGGACCACCTACCTGTCCATCCTCAAACCTACGGAGGAAGTGCCCCTCCGAGGCTTGCTGCGCTGACTGCAGGAGGAGGCGATGGAAGAGACGGCAGGGCACAGGAGGCGTCTCTATCGCCCACAGCTGTCAGCCAGGGGCAGCCTCGGAGGACACCCAGCAACGGGGTCAGGCCGCTTATTCAAATCTTAGTTGGACATCCGGAAGCATTTCCTGAGCATTAGGGGATGCGACACGGAAACGCGGACGGGATGTTGTGGCGTGCACGCTCGGGCCAGCAGGGCCCAGCAAGAGCCCCTGCTACGTCTGGACACAAAGGGGAGAACGACCAGGTCCCGAAAGAAGTCGGGCGCCCGACCTTGCCCAAGAACGCGGCGCGTCCCTGCAGGCCCCGCAGCCAGCAGGCGCGAGCCCGCGAGCCCGGGAGCCCGCG